ATTGTTGTTGAAAGTAAAATAGAGTTACTGATTATGATATAGATTAATGACAACAAAATTAAATAAAATTGTTTTAGATTCGAATTGTAGAAGTCAGAGTTCTCCGCTTTCATGACCTAACATTGCGGGAATGGTCGTTAGCCATCGTTTTATTATTATCATTTGTTTAGTCATATATTGTTATAATATTATGTTAGAAAATTCATGTTTGAGTTTTATTATTTGGCTTACCGGTCATATACTAATTGTGCTGTTTTATAATAGTAAATTTGTCATATCATAGAAATTGAAACAGAATTAAATATACCATTTTCATAGAATATTCGTTGTGTTCATTTATATTGCATAGTTGTGTATTTTTCAGAAGTTATATGATCTTCAGTATCGTGTTTAATATTTCGTTCTTTCATTTTCATTCTGATTTTCCATGAAATAGTGCATAGCTATATACATGTTGCATATAGATGAATTAATGAGATGGTACTATACTTGTTTTAGGCGCACATAATTAGTACATACAGCCTGTGATATATGGTATTATTATGACTGTTATAACAAGATAGTACAAACAAATCCAGAAATCTGACCCGAATGAAGCAGTTCAGACATTTGAGGTCACTGAATTTTCCAGCCCGTATTAATAGGCATTATGCATTGCTGAAGATGGATGAACAGACAGGCCTGTAATTTTTATGTCAATGTTAAAAGACTGACGTTAAACCTCATTACGTCACTCGTAAGCACGACCCGCAGTTTCCTGCATGCGTTGTTGCCCAAAATTAAATGCAAAGTCGTTGCGCATTGCAAATATCACGAACTGTAAGCGTACGTTTCTAACATTGAATTTAGCATTATTTCTCATTTAACATTCAAAATGCTCAATTCTCTATTTCACGCTCCGCAATTAAAATCTGGTGAAATCCTCTTAAGTTCGAAGAACGCCCGTCAAGAGGAAGATTTTAAATCAGCACACCATTAAACTTACTCTATGAGAGCATGTTTCTACAATTACCGAAGCGATTAACAGAATTTGTTTTCGCGGAGCAAAACAGCAGAACGGAGCATTTTAATGTTAGATGAGAAAAATACGCAAATTCAATGTTGTGAAATGCATACGCCACAGATCTGGGTTATTTACAATGCGCAAATGACTTGCGGTATTTAGTTCTAAGACATTTGCATACAGGGCGGCTCACGAATCGTGCTACAAAAATTAACCGTAATAAGTTTTTATCAATTCAGCTAGGTGCCCTAGACTTTGATTTTACAAGAACCACTATCTCCATGCTCAGCCATTATTAACATTCTCTGCATATAGTGTATTGATAAGTGATAAAATTATGATTTGAATTTCTGGATGCGTACATTCAAATGCGTATGTTCAGATAAATGTACATATGACTATATAATATTAATATAATAAAAGATATACAATTATATAGCAATTTATATTATGTAAAAACTATATAATATTATTAAATGCCCAAATTGACTATAAATATTATTTCGAAATTCCATAATTTAATAGATCTTATCAGTTCTCTTCACTCTCCACTGTTAAAATTTCTCCTTCCGAGTCAGATGTGGTGAAGTCCACTATTAAAATCTTGTTAGGTTTTGACAATTCACACGTTGGACCGCAATTGAATCTTCTCTATAATCTACATTCTCTGGTTTATTGCTTTGCTTGTCATCTGTTCAGTAGCTCAAGAACTCGTGGTTTATTTTGGCAGCACTAAAAGTTCATGAGCTCTCTCAGAAGGCAAAGAGAGGAGATTCGAATCATTTTATCTATGCAAAAGTATCCGTGAAGAACTAGAGTTTAGGCGGCATCTCGACAGGTAATTATATATTCTAAGAATCTGAGATGCAGCAATATTGCCAAATGAGACTGCTAATCTTTAGCAATTGATGTCTGAATATATTTCATACCAAACATTGCTAGCAATCAACTGTCAATTTGATGGTTTTATCTAGAGGCAACATGTACATTAATAGTTTAACGGATTTCTCGATAAATTGTCTACCTGTAATTCAATCTTGAGTTCGATCACTGAATCGTTAAATTAAAGTCCCAATTTAATGGCTATACAGTTATCTTTATTTCTAATCCAAAGAATTTAACTCTTATTACTCATTATTCGAGCTTACAACTTATTGCTTATAGCTCAAACAGAGAACGTAAATGAACGAGAATGTGCAAATTGAATTTTGTATGATGTTTGATTCGACGGCTAACAGAGCTGAAAAATTCCGATCAGGGAGTTCATCATTTTTCGGGAGGTGTTCGCCACAATATATTAATTACCAGAGAGCGCTACCACAGCGTTCTGAGTTCTTGCGTTATATATGCAGTAGTTTGCATGTTAATGGTTACAATGCATTGGAGTTTTGGGTAGTCGGAACTTATATTTTTAAAACATATGTTCTGACACTGGAGCAGCGCGCAAATAGAAAAATGTTTACCTGGAGGTCATTTAACAGAGCCTTTTTGTAGTTTTAAAACTCAACAAGAGATTTAAAATTTCGTGATCTGTACGAACTGTAGAACGGCCGCCAGTGCTGAAAGGAGTTCGACGTGGAAGAACCTATGCAAACTTTGTTATTTATTTGATTTTTTTTTTAAATTCATTGTTTGAAAAATAGAAATATTGAAAAAAATGGACGGTAAATGTATAGGTTAGGTCCCTCAATTAAGGAGGCGTCAAAAATGAATTTTTTTTTTTAAATCGTCTTATTTTTACTCGTAGATTACAAATCCGTGAGCGGAAAGTGAAATTTTTTAATAATATATGTATATTTTTCAAATTTATATAACACACTTCGCACATATCACATATTCAAGTCACTTAATTGTTGTTGTATGGGCAAAATTCTGTAGAATTCAGATCACTTAGCTGTAATTACCAGTTCAGCGTGTTAAACATTTTCTTATGAAGAAAATATACTGAAGAAATGTAACAGTCACAATTTCTTTTGCGCCGCGATCGTCGAACTCCTTTCCGCACCGGGGTGTTCATAATTCAATCGCGTCAAACTCCCTTGTGCACTGGCGGCCGCGCTTCAAAAAAATAACCCTGGTCGGTTCAAAACCGGGGTGTTCATAATTCAATCGCGTCAAACTCCTTTTCGCTGCTCTCAACCTCGATGATAATTTTCATCACGATGCAAAGTATGTGTAATTATTAATATCACAATAAAAGTGCACTAACATTGATATTTAAATATAAATTTTCAGAAACGTTTATGAAGAAGAGGAGTAAAAACTTTAACAATATGTGATTTTTTCAAAGAAAAAAATAAAACAATTAATTTAAATGTATCACAATTTTTTATTTTGGGAAAACTTTAGTTTGGCATCCCACGATTTCAGAGTTAAAAGGGGTATGCTTGGATAGAAGAGATTCTCCAGATCTCGAATATATATAATTATTGGCGCCGGAAACTTGTTGTTTTCGAGATATTTGCATTTTAAGTTGAAAATTTCACAAATTTCATTTTACAATTTCTTGATTGATTGTTATCTTTTCTTTTATATTATGCACTTATTAAACACTAACACTTCACTACAATGTTTCTACATATTTATTTTATATTAAATATTTAAGTATTTGCTTTATATAAGCATTTAATTTTTACACAATTTTCGTAATATTAACAATAACAAATGGGTTTCATGTTGTCAGATAATAAGTGTTGCCATATCCAAACGGATGAAAGCAATCAAAATAAATAAAAAACCCAATCACCCTCTACAAAATATTATGAACTCAATAAATTTAATAAAAAAAAAGGTTTTATGGCTTTAACGTATGTTTTACTGCATCTGATAATTTCACAAATCGATCATGATGCTGATTTACTATATTTTTACGCCATATGTATTCATATTTCAAATTTTCAAAATCTTCACTGTTGTTATAATTATCCTTAATAAAAATTGAAGTTTATAGAGAGTGATATATTCTCTTTAGCATTACTTTTTTTAAGATTTTTTATTTGCCGCGCTTCAAAAATATAACCCCGGTCGGTCCAACACCGGGGTGTTCATAATTCAATCGCGTCAAACTTCTTTCTGGACTGGCGGCCTTCGGCCGCGCTTCAAAAAAATAATCCTGGTCGGTCCAACACCGGGGTGTTCATAATTCAATCGCGTCAAACTTCTTTCTGCACTGGCGGCCTTCGGCCGCGCTTCAAAAAAATAACCCTAGGTTCAACACCGGGGTGTTCATAATTTAATCGCGTCAAACTTCTTTCCGCACTGGTGGCCTTCGGCCGCGCTTTAAAAACATAACCCTGGCCAATCCAATACCATAATTTATCAATAGAAGGGAATGAACGAAATTATAGTTCATGTATTTGGGGTATAATCCTCTTTTATTGTTCATTTTAATTCGCTTTCAAAATATATATATATATATATATATATATAATAGATATGGCAACACTTATTATCGGACAACATGGAACCCATTTGTTATTGTTAATTAAAATAAAATAGAAATATTGAAAAAATTCACTTTCCGCTCACCGATTTGTAATCTACGCGTTAAAATAAGACGATTTTAAAAAAATTCATTTTTGAGGCCTCCTTAGTTGGTGGACCTAAACTATACATTCAGAGAACGTATATCATAGAGAAGGTTCATGGTGTGCCGATTGTCAAAATGTTCCTCTTGACGGAGGGTTACTCGCCAACTTAAGAGGATCTCACCTCAAACAAATTATAAGCGGATTTCACCAGAATTTTACCTCTGCGGAGCGCGAAATAGCAGAATTGAGCATTTTGAATATTAAATGAGAAAAATAATGCTAAATTCAATGTTAAGAAATGTACGCTTACAGATTCGTATATTTACAATGCGCAAACGACTTTGCATATAATTTTAAGATATTCTGCATATACAAGGCGGCTCACGAATCGTGCTACAAAAATTAACCGTAATAAGTTTCTTTTTATCAATCTTTTTTGTATTGTATAAAAAATTTTAATTTTATTTTATACAATTAATTATTCCTCCATGCTCAATGACCATATTGGACACCTAATTAGAAAATTAATGCGGGCTGGAGGGTTCAGATCGAGTTGCCTCAAATATCTATTTTAATGGACTGCTTCAGTTCAGTCAGATTTCTGGTTTGATTTGTACTCCTCTTGCTTGACATAACCCCATAAGAAAAGACCAAGCGGTCATATATTCTTTACATATATATGTAAGTATATGTATAATTATGTGTGCATGTAAACAAATATGAAAGTACCATTATAATGTTAATTTGTCCTATATGCAACGTATGTATATAAATATGTACACTCATTGTTTCATGGAAATCGAAACCATACACACCTTACAAACATACATCGCAAATGCGCAAGTGCAAAATCAACCCTTTCATATACAACGTGGCATGCGTAAAGGAACAAAGTCAACAAGTCATGTGCATAGATACGGGCAGATGTTGTACAAAATTCAAATATTTAGATACGCACTTACGTACATTTTTGACAAATACAGTCAATCCGGTTAATGCAAAACCAAGTTCAGATTTTTGTGCTTTGTAGAACATAAGCGATTGTGGTACTAAGCGAGTGGTACCAAAAATAATTTCTATGTATTTAAAAATATTACCGTTTTCTTTAAAAATTAAGAAAAACGAGATGGAGCAAGGCACAGGCAGATAAGAGGATTGGAGGTGATACTTAACGGGGTTTGTTTACATAAATCAGAGAATATTGAATATTTTCTTTAAAAGTTTCTTGATGTATATCGACAAATATATGTGTCACTTTTATTCTAAAATATTTTAATACTCATATTTGCGGGGTTTCACTTTTCCCTTCTAAGGGAATATCAGAAATTTGTTCAATTTGATTTTAGCTTTTGCCATCGTCGTGAAAAGAGCTTGTAGGCAAAAGCATGCTCGGGATGTAAGGGTATCTGTTTTTATGAATGAAGCGAGGTTGCTTGTCGAAAGTACGCCTGCGTTCATGAATGAAAATGTTGTTGTTGTGTGATTTACTATATATATATTTGGATTCGGCTATTTGGCTGACATATTGACTTGTGACGATTGTTGTTTTGTAGAACAATGTTTGTAGTTTTTGCGATTTATATATACGCATATTAAATATATGTTGACATATAAATCAATGTTCGCACATATAGCAGAAATGTTAATATATGAATATTTATTAACATTCTCTGCATATAGTTATTGATAAGTGATAAAATTATGATTTGAATTTCTGAATGCGTATGTTCAGATAAATGTACATATGACTATATAATATTAATATAATAAAAGATATACAATTATATAGCAATGTATATTATGTAAAAACTATATAATATTATTAAATGCCCAAATTGACTATAAATATTATTTCGAAATTCCATAATTTAATAGATCTTATCAGTTTTGCATTCATTCATAAAAATTCTCAAAATGATATTCATATCAATAAATATGATTGCATATAAACGTATAAAAATATAAGCCAAAAGAGTAACATGTGGCTGTAAAATCAACGCAAGTCTCTGAGCATAGTTTTTATTCAATGCTCAGCTCTGTTCACTCTCCACTGTTAAAATTTCTCCTTCCGAGTCAGATGTGGTGAAGTCCACTATTAAAATCTTGTTAGGTTTTGACAATTCACACGCTGGTCCGCAATTGAACCTTCTCTATAATCTACATTCTCTGATACATTTACGAAATGGACTTTCTGGTCACGGATATGTAACTTTCGAGTCAAAATAAGACGATTTAGAAAAAAAGTTATAATTTTTTGGGCCTCCTTCGTTGGCGCCCTAAGTTATACATTTAGTGACAGAGTTGGTGGTGCTTAAATGTAAACAAATAATTAAGCAAAACCATGGTTAAAATATTTCTTTTAAAATTATTATATTAAGAAAAAATACCGGCGCGATAAATATTGAATGTGTAGCATCAACCTATATCAATATAGATAGCGAGCCAATATCACAATAAATATTGAACGTGTAGCGCGCGCCATAAATGTCAAATTTGCGCCATATCAAAAGTATTCCACACGTTTGGCATTTGCGCAAAATTTACCGACATGCGGTGAGACAAGACTTATTTTTCTGTTATTTTTGACTACATTGAAAGTACACGCTGGGAACAAGCTTCGAAAATATTTGGGCAAAAATAAATAAGTACTATTTCCAAAAACTTTGGAAGATTGGTGCAAATATTCGGTAAACAACGGAAGAAGAAATGGTAGGTGTTTTGTTAACTATTAAACACAAGTCTCAGTATTAATTTTATATATTTTAGTCTGATGACGTGATTATGCACTCAAGCACATCTAATCCAGCAAATAATGATGTTGCTACGTGTTTAAAGAATTCTAAAGACAATTCCGTATCACATTCAGCTTCAGCGGAAGAGATGACATCAAGAGACTATTATTTCGACTCGTATGCTCATTTTGGCATTCATGAAGAAATGCTTAAAGATGAAGTGCGTACTATCACTTATAGGAATGCTATGTACCACAATAAACATTTATTTCGAGGAAAAGTAAGATATCCACACTGTTCTACACTTCCATTATGCATTTTTATTTTATTTTTTTTTAAGGTAGTTCTTGATGTCGGTTGTGGAACAGGTATATTATCTATGTTTGCGGCTAAAGCTGGAGCATCGAAAGTCATAGCAGTAGATTGTTCTAACATCATTGAATATGCTCGTCAAGTAGTAATTGATAATAATCTTCAAGATGTGATTAGTGTAGTAAAAGGAAAAATTGAAGAAATCGAATTACCACCTGGTATAGAAAAGGTGGACATAATTATATCTGAATGGATGGGGTAAGTTGTTTAGGGTAAATTTTAGAATAGCATCCCTTGGGGGATGCGTTAAAATGGGTATTTACGGATAGAAGAGGTTCTCCAGATTAAGAAAATTTATACATATATATGGTTTCCACTGACTAATGGTTTTTTAGATATTTAAAGAAAGAAATCCTTTCTGCATTTGAGGTCCTCGGTCGCGCTTAAAAAAAAAAAAAAATAAAGTCTGTCGGTCCAACACCGAGATGTCCTCAGTTCTTTCGTGTAGAACTCGGTTTTGGCTTGGCGGCCTTTGGCCGCGATTCAAAAATATAACCCTAGTTGATCCAACAACAGAGATTTATCAAGAGAAAGTAAATTCTGAAAGATTTTGCGTTACCACACGACTATCAATTTTGTATTTGACGGTATATTCTTCTTAATTTAATTTTATTTGTTTGCAAAATATGGTAACACTTATTTTTTGTTCTGCATGCAACCTGCATTTTTTTTATTGTATAAATAA